TCAACATCAAGCAAATACAGAAGTTTAAATATCTGTGATTTTTTTTTTTGGTTGTTGTTTTTTTTTAAAAAAAAAAAAAACAAAAAAAACAAAGGACGGAAAATGTGACACCGAAAGCCGAAGATGCATTGGATTAGCGAAAGATGCATTCCAAGAGCTAAGGGAGGAAAATTGTTAAGGGTCACGAGAGATAGGTAGTTTACGAGGGCCTTGATCGTCCATGTTCCGAGTTGACGGGGCCCATGAATATTTGGTATTTTCTTTTTTTTTTTTTAAACAGACGATGGAAAATGTCAAACCGAAATCCGAACATGCATTGGATTAGCGAAAGATTCCAAGAGCTAAGCAAAGTGCTGAGAAACAAAATATTACGTTAGAAAGAAAGAAAAGATTACTGAATTGCTATATGGTATCCATCTTCTTATATGGAAGTGAATGCTGGACAATATCTCTACGGATGAGCAGAAAACTATAGGCAACAGAAATGTAGTTCTACAGAAGGATACTGAGAATTCCATGGACAGAGAGAGAGAGAGAGAGAGTAAAATAAATAGAAAGTCTTTTAAAAAATAGCAACAAAAAGAACACGTATATTCAAAATGAGGAAGAGTCAGCTGAAAGTTCTTCTATAAATAATGAGTAAGGAGGGCCTGGAAAACTCAACCCTCACAGGTCATACTGAGGGCAAGAGGAATAGGGGAGGGCAACGAGCTACTTGCCTGACGAGCTTGGGGGGAATGAATGGCTTAGCAAAGGGAGGAAAATTGTTAAGGATCACGAGAGATAGGGCCTATGAATATCTGGGATTTTCTTTTTTTTTTTTAAACAGAGGATGGAAAATGTGACACCGAAATCCGAAGATGCATTGGATTAGCGAAAGAGGCATTCCAAGAGCTAAGCAAATTGCTGGGAAACAGAAAATATTACGTTAGAAACAAAGAAAAAAAAGTGGTGGATTGCTACGTGATATTCATCGTCTTGTATGGCCGTGACTGTTGTACAAAAATTGGACAAAAGTTACTCAGCATAACGAAGGATAGGATGTTATAGGAGCCATGATCGCTCACGAATTGAAGAAAACCCGACACATTAAAAGAGGGATATTTACAAATCGAGTAAAGGGTTTAATCAAGAGCAATGTAACTGATGTGATATGCTGTAAAATCTAACAGCTAAATACCACTTAGGAGATTGGCGCAGCATAATCTTCTAATATAAAATATTTGAATTAGCTTGATCAAAATAAGGTGCAAGCTGGCAGTTTTCTCAGCCGAATTTCCGTAAGTAGCGTTGAAAATTATTCCCAAACGATTCTTGCATTTCTAAGGTCATTCGTGACCAGACGAGAAGTCTGTGAAACTAGAAATATGGCCGTTCTAATTCTTTGTAAGGATTGTATGTGGGTTTCAATCATGTGGACACCCAGAAGTGTATTTGGACGTGTGTTGGCGTGACTGGGCGTTGAAGAAATGTTGTGGAAAGAGATAATATTTTGTCTTCTTCTCACTCTGTCAATTGACATTATGTTTACGTCCACGCTACTTAGGTTATTTCTGTTAAATATGTTATTTGAAGGGAATCATTCTTTCTCAGTTTCATTTTCTCTCTTTCTCTCTCTCTCTCTCTATATATATATATATATATATATATATATATATATATATTACAAAATTAAATTCGAAGCTTTCAACTTCCATTTTGAAACATGGTTAATACTGTGTAGAAAAAAAAACCATATTTTAAATCAGTTTTTAATATATATATATATATATATATATATATTTTTTTTTTTTTTTTTTTTCCCAATTCTTTTTATTGTACATTTTTCTGTATTAATTTTGAATCCTGTTGAAGTTTTTGAAGGGGAGCGAAAACGGTTGCTTCTCTTGTTTTTTTTTTTTTTTTTTTATTTTTATTTTTAATATGTCTTGTAATATTAAATTTTATACTTTTATTTCGATCATTAAATTTTGTACGTGTAAAAAATATCTTTATATATATATATATATATATATATATATATATATATATATATATATATATATATATAGTTTATGAAAAACTAGGTAATCCGTAAGGGTAAACCTTTGAGTGAGGATAAAATCCAGAGAGCTCAATTTATATTCATATTGTCCGTTACAGATTTAATCTGAAATTTGACACACACACATACACACACGCACACTTACACACCCATGTATATATATATATATATATATATATATATATATATATATATATATATATATATATAACGATATATATTTCGTATAATTTTATATATCAATAAACAGGATCTATAAAAATAGTGTGACAAATTGAAAAAAGTTTTGTGTGAGGCGATTCATCCGTTAGGATTTCATCGGACTGGCTATTGTTGATGCTGCCACTTCTACGCATGCGCACAAAACGAGAGACGCTGGTAGTTTAAAACATTTTGAAAGAAATTTTTTTTTTTTTTGAAAGAATATTTTTTATCAATCTTGCCAAATTCATCTCTATTCTTTTTCTTTTTCTATCCATTACCTTTGTCTCCGACTATCCCATATTGTGACAACAGAAAAATCTACCAAGATATATTGTAAGAGCCTGGACTCAAATTTACCGTGGCTAAAACATTTTCGCGTCACAAAATCTTTTTCGTTTAAAACAAGGTACTGTGATTATTTTTTTTATTTAATTTTTTGTGTTCTTTTATGGACATATAGAGTCGAAATCTAGTGGGATATTTCCTCACAGGTTCGTATCCTGTTCACAGCGCCATGTAGAATATTGGTTAGCAGGTAAGTCACTTGACTTCTACAAAATTATCCGAATGCATTGTATGTCCGAGCGCTTTCGGTTATACATTTAGCCACTATCGAGGATTATTTAAGTTTTACTTTTAACTGAATGTATGAATATTTTATTGGTGTATCTAGAGCATGTCAACTCTCAGTAACATCAAATATGAACACGGTCAGAACGTGCTGATCGTGTTTGGAAAATAAAACATTAAAAAAAACCTTCAGCAGAAACTGAAAAGAAAAACATCCAGAAGGGACACTCTGTTTCTGGCGTAAAGACAATCATGGCCTGAAGATTGCTTTAAGCATTTATATTTACATACGTACTATATTATTATATATATATATATATATATATATATATATATATATATATAGTCACGTGGCCGAGTAGTTAGAACGTTCGTTTTATGACCATGAGACTCGGGTTCGATTTGTCAGGAAGGAGACTTCCTAACGGTCTGGATTCCAGCGTTTGGCATCTTTGGAAAGTGCTTGAAAACCATACCACGGCTTGGGCCAAGGCTTGTGAGTGAAATTGGGTAGACGGAAAACGTCGAAGTCACTGAGCGTTATTCAGATTGCTGATCATGCTAGATAACATGCTCTCTCCCAGAAACTGTAACTAAGGTCTGCTCAGGAGTATAACCCACAGGTTGGCTCTGTTGAGCGAGCGTCTGCAATAACGATTGGCTAGCCACCCTGGTAGACGGATATCCTCGAATACATCTATTATACACACACACACACACACACACACACACACACACACACATATATATATATATATATATATATACTAGCAGCATGGCCCGGCGTTGCCCGTGCTTGATTCAAAAATCGTACGACTCATACAGCAATCGCTATCACTTGACTTAAAATAATATAGTGCCCTTTTTCCAGGCTGATGTTGCTACATGCCTTACTTCTTGCCTATCTCACACTGCGAATTTTTTCGAAGCTCTATACTAAACATTAAATCTGTTACGAAAGAAGAACTAAACAAAATGAACACAAAACGATCAGCTTTAAAAATGACTCGTAACTGGAAAAAAAACGAATGAAAAAGAATGTTAACAACAAATACTTTTTCACACCCTACCCAGTTCTGCGGAATCAGAATCAACGTTGGATTTAAGCAAGCGAATGAGCCAATTGGAGTAAAGTGCAATGCAGATTTAAATTTTTCCTACTTGTGACGAATGCAGCTATCGATATTTTTTTGCATGCTAGTTAACATTCGTGTCAGTCAGATGTTGGCTCTCACGCTGGCCGGTAGAAAATGACCGCAAACTACATGAAAAATGCCGTAGAAGCATGAAAAAATCGATTATTTCCCCTATCGATGGGAGTTAAGAAATGCAAAGTCGGTGTTGGCCTTCCCGCTAACTTGGAGCATGTGCGTGTAAATTTTGGTGCAAATCCGTCGAAAATTGCCGCCGTGCATTCGTTACAAACAAACACACACACACACACACACACACACACACACACACACACACAGACACACAGACACACACACACATCCTGCCTTTTATAGATAGAGATTAACATATTTATACGTTATTTTTACTGATACAATTTATTTAAATAAATGCTTTATTTTTTAAATAAACAGTATTAATTATATTTTCTGAATGTTCGATAAATTTCGTAGAAAATCTCCGAACATTATTATAAAAAACAAATCTGTTTATCTACTTATCTACACACGCACACACTCACATATTAAGTTAAATAATTTCTGTTTTGGGGAGACCTTTTTATATCGGTTACATACGACAATGTTCAGCACAAAAGAAAACGATTGACAAGCATAAATTTCTTCAACAGAAGAAAGATAATGCGATAGTTCTTAAAGTGCAACGTATCAGTAAATGCACATTTATATGTCTAGCAGCTGCAACATGTCCATAAACGTTTCCATGTCAACACAAAGCCAGACACAGCAGAAATAAAACAGGAACAGTTTTAGAATTCGGTTGGTTTATTCTACCCTACCCACTATATACACCTGACATTGTACCAACCGATTTTCTTTCATTCCTTAAAATGCGTTGGTCTGTCTTTTCGTCCGTCTGTCTTTATTGCGTTTTTCATTTCTTTCCCATTTAGTCTTCTTTTCTATATTATATTTTTTCTTTCTTATTTTTTTCTCTTATTCATCTTTAATATTTAATGTTTCCCTTTTTATCTACTTATTCTTCAACCGATATGATTTCTTTCTTTTTTTATTTATTTATCTTTAATATTGACTTACTCTTTCCTTTCCCATGTATTTCCTCTTTCTTTCTTTCTTTCTTTCTTTCTTTCTTTCTTTCTTTCTTAGCCTCCTTCTCCATATATGCTTGTTTCTTTAAGCTCCTACATTTCTTTCTATCTTTCTTTCTTTCTTTCTGTCTTTCTTTCTTTCTATTATTTATCTTTAATATTGCCTTTTTCTTTCCTTTCGCATTTCTTTCTTTCTTTCTTTCTTTCTTTCTTTCTTTCTTTCTGTTATATATCTTTAATATTGCCTTTTTCTTTCCTTTCCCATGTATTTCTTCTTTCTTTCTTTCTTACTTTCTTTCTATTATTCATCTTTAATATTGCCTTTTTCTTTCATTTTGCATTTCTTTCTTTCTTTCTTTCTTTCTTTCTTTCTTTCTTTCTGTTATATATCTTTAATATTGCCTTTTTCTTTCCTTTCCCATTTATTTCTTCTTTCTTTCTTTTTTTATTTATCTTTAATATTGCTTTTTTCTTTCTTTCTTTCTTTCTTTCTTTCTTTCTTTCTTTCTTTCTTTCTTTCTTTCTTTCTTTCTGTTTTATATCTTTAATATTGCCTTTTCTTTCCTTTCACATTCATTCTTCTTTTCTATATTTTTCTTTCTTTCTTTATCTTTATTATTGCCTTTGCTTTCTTCCTTTCTTTCCTTCTTTCTTCTTTTATATTTTACATTGTCTTTTCCTTTTCTTTCACATTTATTTTTTCTTTCTTTCTTTCTTTTCTTTCTTTCTTTCTTTTCTTTCTTTCTTTCTTTCTTTTATTTATTTTTAATATTGCCTTTTTCCCTTTCTTACCCACTTATACATTTTCCGAACGTTTTTTTTCTTTTATTTATCTTTCATATTGCCTTTTCCATTTCTTTCCCACTTACTTACTTACTTTCTTTCTTTCTTTCTTTCTTTCTTTCTTTCTTTACTGTATTTTCCAATATTATTTCCTTTATTTTCTCTCCTTTCTCCTCACACTATACCCCTTTTTTTGGTCAACCTCTAACAACCACACATTCTCTGGCACTCTTCTTTTTCTTCTCCCTCTTAATCACCCTTTCCATTTATCTCCTCTCCGTTTTATTTCTCTTTGTAACTGACATTATTAGCAAATGACAGATTACAATACCCAGAGTTGCATATTGAGACTTGATGTTGTCCTGACATATCGCGGCCAGCAACTAGAATGTCTGCTAATGCCATCTGCCGGTGCCTGGTTCCTATCAACACATAGGCCCAGGCCTAGAAGACTCCAAGAGCCAAGAGATTTATTCTTGCTCCAGCCAAATCAATTTTCTAACTGTCGAGATAACAGATACTAGAAGAGGTGGGACAAAATAGACCTCAGCTGTTTATTGTAAGCAAAAACCTCAATCCCCTTTTGCCGCTCGAAAGACTTTGACGTGTTATTCTCTACGTCTTCAAAAATCCTTTCCTTTTTTTTTCTTTTTCGTCTTTCTTTTCTTTTCGTCTCTTTCTTTCCTTCTTTTTTTTTTTTGACTTTCACTTTATTGATTTCTTTCTTTCTTTTTTCTTTGTTCTATTTAATTGCAGCGTTAGGTTAATTCAGTGCTTCTTTCTCCGACTTTTATTGCTTTGTTCTTTCTTTCTTTTTTTTTTTGTCTTACTTTTTATCCTGCTTTAGCAAGAAATAAGTGATAATCAAACAGCTTTTTCTCCCAAACCGCTATTTTGGGAACCAGCTCCCAAGAGTATGCTTTCCTGACAACTACAATCTTAGCCTGTTCAAGTCTTGGTTTAACCGTTACTTTTCCAACATATCCTCATAAACTCCTCTTACCTATTACACTTACCGCTCACACAAAATCATTCTTCAGTATTGCTCTCACTTGAGTGGCTCTTGAGCCTTGTATTGGGTGAGCATTATTAAAGAAAAATTTGTTGTGTCTTTCATTATTTTAATTCACTGCGCCTTTCTTTCTTTTTTCTTTCTTTGTCTTAATTCATTGTTTCTTTATTATTGATTTTCATTAATTCTTTCTTTCTTTCTTAATTCGACGCCCTGTTCATCTTTTCTTTCTTTGTTTTTTCAGGATTTCTTTCTCTGTTTACTCTCTCTCTCTCTCTCTCTCTCTCTCTCTCTCTCTCTTTTCTCCGCTTACTTTTCTCCCTCTACGCCTGATTTCTCTGACTCTCAAAATCTTTCCTTATATACTTATTGTTATGGGACCTTGCCCATAATAGCATAATGGACTATTCCATACATAATAAATACTGCACCTCAAGAGGAAGCAGGGAGTTCCGTCTGAAGTTTTTAGTCCGAACTCGGGCGACCGGCTGATCGGTTGAACTCTCTTCCTTCAGGAGGGAAGAACCCGAACGAGGCTACGCCGAAGGGCGGAGTCTCTTTCGGGGGGTAAACTGACCCTGAATCCGTTTATACGGGTTCAAAGGGCATATTTTTGGCCGAGCCCACCGGCTCGGAGATCCCACATTAAACCGGCATTGTGCCACATGATGCCCTCGTGGGGTGGGTGACTAAATACCGTTCCGTCTGGAGTTTGGAGTGAAGTCCATCAGAAGTCCGTCAGAAGTCTGTCAGTCAGTCAGAGCGAGTCAGTCAGTCGTGTCAGAGGCAGTCCGAAACAGAGTCGCGTTCAGACAATTACTACAAGACATTGGAGTAGTGATACTGGTCGAGACTACATTGTTCTCCCTACTAAACCTGATTGTTCATACTAACACTTCTACTTCTCTGTATATATTCCTGCTTGTAATATATCTGTGTTATTCCATACCTGTGTTCGAGTTCTTCTTTATTGGTTCTACCTTGGACTATCACCGTTGTACATGAACCTGGACCATAACACTTATCAAGACAATAGACGGAACTGTGCAAAGTAAGATATCACAGCGAAATCTTAATTAATTAATTTGATTTGTCGGATAGTGTTTTATATTGTGGCATTTCGAATCTAAAAATTAAAAAACGATCTTATGGATTTGTGCTGCACTGAACTAGAATAGTATGAGAAAACACAGTACGACTTGTATGGGTTTACGTACACAAACATATCCATTTATATATATATATATATATATATATATATATATATATATATATATATATATATATATATATAACAAAAGATAGAATTAATTATATAACCCCATAAATCAAGCCCTACCCACATTTTCTCCCCACACAAGACAGACAATAAAATGGAGGTGTTGAGGTGACATACACACACCCATACTAAAATATACACATACACATCATACCCACACACATCATACCTACTCCCGAAGAAGTAAATGATAACATGCATTTGATACAGACAATAAAAGTCTCAAAATGACCAAGGGAAGTCAGAATAGCATGGAATCTACTCAACCGCTATCTTAAAAAAACAACTTAAGAGAAGCCGTTTGACCAACACAAGGACTGACCAAAATTAACAATAAAAACAAATGAAAACTACAGATAAAGTTTATTATATATATATATATATATATATATATATATATATAATGACAAATCGAAAAATTATAAATAATGCAGGAGTCAGTAAGGCAATCACATAAATAACTAAATATATCTACATACCTATATATTTATTTATTTAATTTTATTTATTTTATTATATTAGTTTATTATACTATTTTTATTTATGTTTGATATTATTATTATTATTATTATTATTATTATTAATAATAATAATAATAATAATAGTAGTATTAGTAGTAATTTAAAATTATGATGATTATGCTGTCTAAAATGGCATAACATTATTAGACAAATTCCTGTTACTCTTTTACTTTCGATCCCTCTCTTTTTCCCCTTATCTGGGATAGTGTCCCTTTTAAGGAAAATTTTTTCTAGCTTATTATTAATATTTTTTCCTTTTATTTTTTTTCCTTCCCCAACTCTTTTTTTTCTCTCTCTTTTTTCCTTTTCTCTTTTTTCTCCCGGTATATCTGTATGCATGGATCGATTCCATTTAAAAAAAAACAAAAACAAACTTTCGGCCTGAACAAATGAATATAACAATATTCATTAAACAAATTATAGCCGGAATGGATTTTTAAGGCTTTCCTTGATTTATCATTATATTTGCTATCTAGCTTACACTGAGCTCTCTTTTTTATATATATATATATATATATATATATATATATATATATATATATATATATATATATATATGTGTGTGTGTGTGTGTGTGTGTGTGTGTGTATATATAACAAAAAAGAAAGAACAGTAAGATATATAATCCGGTGTTCTGTTAGATACTTTTATTTTTACAAAATAGTGCTCAATGTAAATTTACAGATCATAATATTATAAATTAATTGATTTAAAATATGTTTTTTTCCGCTACACAGTTTTAACCATGTTTCAAAAATAGAAGCTAAAAGCCACAAATTTAATTTTGCAATTAAATTAAAAGCATTAGTTCCATTTCATCCTCAAGCGAATTTTGGAGTAACTTTAAAAATTACTGGGTTTTAAAGACACAGCTAAAATCACGTTTCCATGGTTACAGAATATTCTCCTTGAATTGGACAAGGGATGTCTAGGTATTCCTTATGTCAGTATCATTGTATCAGTTATTAGCTACAATTTGGTAAGGGGTAGGGATGTATTTTTCAATGAAAACTGACATCCGTTCAATGCATGTCGTCTGGATTTTTTTTTAAAAAAATTATTGTTAAGGGTAAAAAAATTCTCACGGCATTTTTTTTCCTATTTATAAATTTAAAGATTTTCGGGGGTGTTCAGATCCTAATACTTTTTATTTAAGTACGATTTGAAATATTCTCATTTTTAATTTTTATTATACTATATTCTTTTTAAGAACAGTTAAATGTATTAGACTCCATTATATTATGTAGGATTATTTTAACATCAAGTTTAAGTATGTATATAAGGTTACATTTTTTTTTTATTAAAAAATTTATGACTGACGGCAAAAATGGTTTCTTAATTTCACTGATTTAGTAAACTTTTATTTTATATATAAACCTAGTTATATATTGTTTCTCATGTAAGTACAAAGGACATGGGTCATTTAAAAGCTTACATCTTATGGCATTTCATATTAATTTTATTTTTATTTTATTTTACTATAGGTGTTTTTATTGGATTCTTTTAAGTGCGTGTAGTACTAATTAAAAGAAGTTTAGGTTAGAATTCATTTTATTTAACTACAATTTTAATTACAATTTTAAAATTACAACTTTAAAATTTTAAAATATTTTCATTGTAGTTTTAATAGACTATATTACTTTATAACAGAAGGAAAATTACTCATATTAAGTAAAATTATTTTTCCATATCAAAGTATATGTAAATTACGATTTTTAAACTTTTATAATTAAGTATTATTTAAGTAATATTTATGGCACTTACTACAAAACTAGCTAAGTCATTTCTCAGATTTAGTAAACTTTATTTATTAATTAATTAATTTATTTTAAATATATATAACCTAAGTACTAAAGTTTCTAATGTATATATATATATATACATTACATAAGCCATTATCAAAGATGACAATTACATTTCAATATATCAAAACAATACACGGACGAAACAATAATGATAGTCTGTTTTTGTTGCATGAAAAATTTCAAAGCAACGACAAACTCTTTTGAGGTTTCTTCTAGACTCGATGAATTACTTAATTATGATTATCTAAAATCATCCTTAATTTCTATCACTATATATATATATATATATATATATATATATATATATATATATATATATATGATTAATATGAGTAAAAGTTGGTCACTTAGCTGATTGATTGATGTTAACTAATGCATCCCGGCTCCAGAGATTCGTAGGCGGACATGTCCATCTACTCTTCAGAGGTTATCAGCAATTTACTGCTTATATTTTTCAATTTTTTTCTTTATATACACTTATCATTGTTGTAATTTTTGTGTTTGTGTGTGTGTTTTCGCGTCTGTGCGGAAGTCCGTTTCGGCGCGTGCGCTCATCTGTGCGGATTTGTGTACATGTCGGATGTCGTGATAATTTGTTATTTTCTCCGGTTTTTTATTTTATTTTATTTTACACACGCTCTTTAGCTTTTTCTTTTTTTCTTTCTTTTTTCTTCTTTTTTTTTTGCGGTTAGTCGCGAGTTGTTCCAATTTTCTATAAATTTTCAATTTTGGGGCTTACGATTAATACAAATAAAATTTGTAACTTAACTGATTGATGTAATATTTAGCACCTTGACACCAGAGTTTCGTAGACGAAGCGTTTATATATATATATATATATATATATATATATATATATATATATATATATATATATATATATATATTTCAGGCAAGCTATAGTCAAGGGTTAATGTTACCAATATCAGACAAAAAAACAACTTGTTTACTACAAAGATGCATTCTTATTTCGATGCGGCTGAATCTCGACTGGTGGGAAACCTCCAAAATAAGTAAATAAATAAAATAAAAATTCTCACCAGTCGATGCAGCCGTATCGAAACAAAAATGCATCTTTGTAGTGAGCAAATTGTTTTTGTCCGCATGTAAAAATTATAATAAATAATTATTGCTCTACTTTTGGTATCGAGCCCTCTTTTTAATTAATGCTGTGAACGTTAGAATTTATATTATTTTCGTTCTCATTACATTCGTATATATATATATATATATATATATATATATATATATATATATATATATATATATATATATATTTCAGGTATGCTATAGTCGTGGGTTAATGTAACCAATATCAGAGATAGAGCGTTTGTAAGTATAAAAGTGGACAGTGAGATCGAAACACAGTGACGATAGTCTGTTTCATTCTTAAGCGAAATCTTCAGATCATGTGTGTTATGTTTTTCTCGACTATTTATATATTCTCATCAGTGGTGCATTATGGGTAAATCTATTTTATTATTATAATGTTTATTAGGTGGGCGGTAATATACATACATATGTAATGAGAGCTAAAATAATATAAATTCTTCACGTTCACAGCATTAATTCAAAAAAAAAGCTCGATACCAAGAGTAGAGCAATAATTATTTGTTATAATTTTTTACATATATATATATATATATATATATATATATATATATATATGTATGTATGTATGTATGTATGTATGTATAAGCGGATATTTTTTTAGCGGACAATATAGATTTGGATTTAGAACTTCTGTCTGTCACGTAGCACAAATA